GGGGGGTCTGCTCTGTGGGTCAGCAAAACCTCGCCAACCCACAGAGGTGGCAGACAATGGACTGCTGCTGTCATTATGCAACCCCCGCGTTGCCACTGCCGGTTAGTTGCTGGGACATCAAGTGGTGATTGGCTGGATATTATGGGCTGTTTTGTACAGATATAAATTCCATCTTCTGTCATTGAAATATCATTGTGTTGTCTGAACTATTTCATCAGTTTGATAGAATGTAATTCTGCTCCCGCCAGGTTGTCCTGTAGAAGGTGTGTTGTGGTCGGGAATGGCCATCGGCTGAAGAACAGCTCCCTGGGGGAAACCATCAATAAATATGACGTGGTGATCAGGTAATTGGGGAATCAATACACTCAACTGTCCTTCTGCTGTAAATACAATTCTGCCATTAACTATTTATAAATAGAGCTCGTATTATTATTTGGGGTACGTTATCTGCCATCTACCAGAGCCACATGACAGATGCCCCGCGTACGAAGCCCTCGAGGGGACCATACCCCTCTGTATTACTGGAGATGTCCTCGATGTTTGCCAGTGTATGAATGATATAAAGCCTTGGTTCTCAACTGGTGGGTCGGGACCCAAAAGTGGGTCGCGACCCCGTGTTCAGTGGGTCGCCGCCTGCCTTACACTTTTCTAGGTGAGAGGCTCATCGGCCTCCCCCATCGCGCAGCACTGTCAGTTCTTACGCTGAGCAGCCATTCAAAATATGGTGCTCAGCGCCCAGTGTCAGCTTGAGGTGGGGTGCAAGCTGACACTCCCTCGCATGTCCTGTAGTAATGCCTGGACTGGAGTGACATCACATTCTGGCTCCCGGCACCTCTACAGGGCGCACAGGGAACTGTACAAGCAATGCACATATGGATGGAGCTTCGTCACAGCACAGCAGCCCACACTGCCGTGCGTTCCATTGCAATGCAACTTGGGTCGCGACCTAATGCCCGAGGACAAATGTGGGTCTTGAGGTTACACAGGTTGAGAACCACTGATATAAAGTATGTTTCCTCACCAGGCTGAACAACGCTCCGGTCCATAGATACAAGAGGGACGTTGGCAGCAAGACCTCCCTGCGCTTCTTCTACCCAGAATCCGCAGATTTCGACCCGCAGATGGACAACAATCTGGACACTCTGCTGGTGCTGGTGCCTTTCAAGCCTCTGGACATCCAGTGGATGAAGATCATTCTGAACAATGAGAAGCGGGTGTGTGATTTTTACCATTCAGTGACTTTCACCATAGACCAAGCCAGGCTTGATTATCGTGAGGTGTAGCGGGTCAGGTTGGGTGGACGGGTTATGCTGGGCACACACCTTACAACCATCGCAAGACTTTTGTCTTGAGATGGTTGTAAGGTACTTAAAAACGTACGATCTGCCCATCTTGGACAGGCAGATCGTACTTGCGATGATCGCAAGCCGCGCCCCCCTGAGGGGCGGGTTTCCGATGACCGCAGTGCCGGACGGCCCGTGCGGCTTTTATCTTACGAACATGCTACACACCCGCCGACCATCGTACGATGCTCGCCGGGTTTTCGAACATGTTCGTAAGTTAAAAGTCGTGCGACCTTACAGTAGTAGAGGTCGCACGGCTTCCACACACCTTACCATAATCGTACGATCGCGGGATTTCCCGCCATTATGGTAAGGTGTGTGGGCACCCTTACATGGATCATAGTAGATTAGGAATTGAAGCACCCCACCAATTAAAATAGTCCAGATACAACTTTATTCCATTAGGGTCGGGGACATTGAAGTAGAAAGGCCAAAGTGTTCCTGGGGTCCAAAATACACCCCCCGGTGCTGGTTACAGCCAAACCAGCTGCTGACAAGCCTGATGTACTCCCCCCAATTTATACTTGGGGCAATAAAGTCCATCTGAGCTGGGGGC